TTTTAGAATTGCAAAACTTAGTGTAAAAATGTTCGTAGTGACGTTTTAGTGAATCTCTTTTAGAAAATACAGCGTCAGCAAGAAATTACTTACAAAGCGAATTTCCTTTAATCGAGGTATATGCACGCAGCTGAACATTTCATCTTTTCAAATTCAAAACGTCGTGTTTTTGATTCTGTCATCTATACTTTCTTCCGCAAAACTCTTTAATTGTTTTTGTATTATTCGTTTGGGAAATGTTGAATGTTTTGGTCACTCGTATGGTTATTTTTAAGGAGCAGCAGATTTAAAATACACCGCCGATGAAATAGTAGCAAACCTATTTTGAAATTAGATTTTCGAATTTATTTTTAAATCGTGCTTGGCCAGCTAATTACTAAAACAGCTTTCAACTTTTGTCCATCTACGGAATATGGCGCAATCCCACAAATTGTAATGAAATTTTATTTTAACTTACAAATTATACAAGGAGTTTTGTAATGACCACTATTAATATTTATTTTTTAGAATGCTTATGAAAAATGAATATTTTTGTTTGGAGTCTTTAAATATATATGTAGTAAGAAAAGTCATCACGTACTACTGTCGTATGCATAATATATGGAACATGCATAATGATGTCATTTCAGCGAAGTAAGAGAAGTTTACGAAACACTATAATATACATAATAAACGCAACATGTATAATGACGTCATTTTATAGTAATATTCATCCTCGTAATATTCGTCCTTGACAACCAGACTCAATATTTTTTAGTTAACAAGTACCCTAATGAAAGAGTAATTCTACAATTGAATTAAACGAAAATTTATAAATAACATTGGTAAGATTTTGATTTCCTTTAGAGATTTTTTTTTTCTTCGATTTACATGAATAATTCTCCTGTTCTAAATTAATCCTAAAAGAGAAAGAATTGTGCAACTGCTTTTAGCAATGAAATCACCTGTTCCAAAACAGGAGTAATGGGTTAATATTAGGTGAAGCCAGCTATTCGCGACTGCATTCACCAAGATAAATATCAAGTGTGTATATTCCAAAAGGATAAAAAAGAAGCAACAAACGGGCTAAAACATGCATCATTTTTATATACCCAAGTAGCAGGTGATGTTTAGTCACTAATGGTTATTTAGAGGAAATAATCGCAAATTGGCTTCTATCAATGTAAATATGAGTTTTAGAAAATTCTCCAATGCAGATGACGTAATGGACATAAATTTTTTCTTACTGAGAGTGATGCTTATAAATTATTACTCGTGGCAAAGTGTATATTGTATAAAATGCATAATATTTGTAATGGAAAAATCCAACAAATTGGGTAAATGATACAAATTCGTATCCTATTAACTGAAGAACTCAGAGATAAAATATGCGAGGTCTTATCTCCGAGATCTGGTCGACATTTTAGCTTTCCTAGGAGCTTTATATTATTATGAGTTTATCTCTTTGCAATTTTTTTTATCCATAGATGGTGCAATGAGGGAACACAAAGTTTATAAATTTCTACAGCCATTTTGCTCTCATTACAATACTGATAGTTTTTTCTTCATCCTTTATATTATACTAATATTACATTGTTATAAGGTATTAATAATTGATGATGAACTTTGTGGTGAAAATAAATGCAGTAATCAAAAAAAAAATTTTTTATGGAGAATTAATCGATTAATGGTTACTAAAATTGTAGAGCAATTTTATATCAAGTTTTATTTCGATTGATAAAGAATTTATTTTATTATCAAAGAGAATATCATTTCTATTGATCGAGAATTTATTACATTCTTATGGAAAAGTATTTTTACTGATACAGAACTAATTACATTTCTAAACAGAATCATATTTTTATTGATAGAATAATTAATACATTTCTGTAGATATCACTATTTTTACTGATATAGAATTTATTACATTTCCATAGAGAATCCAATTTCTATTGGAAAAGAATTTATTACATTTCTACCGTGAATTCTATTTCCATTGATAAAGAATTAATTGCATCGGTTCTGTTGATATTAATATTGAATTCCTACAAAGAATTCCATTTTTCATTCCTACTATTAGTTCACCCTCTCCCTAAATATATTTATATATCTTGTTCTAATTTTCAATCGTTAATAAAATACTTCTTATTAAACCACTCAAGTTCAAACACATTTTTTTAATACTGTAGTGGATAATACTTGTTGTTCATACATTTTTTTCAAATATTAATTCATTAATTAGATTTAATTAATGAATTAATTTTAGGAATTCGCTATCTATTTTGCCACTTAATATTGTGATTCTGTCATCCGTATATACATATTGTATTAATTGTAATTATTTAACAAAAAGTAACTAAAATAAAATTTGTCGACGAATTGACTTTTAAAAAAAAAATTTGGATTAATTTCATGATTTCATTTCTATCTCGAATTTTACTGCCTTACTGCCTTTCTATCATGCTCTTTTTAGACTTTTATAGATTTATTTCTCCTGCATGTGCTATCTCTTTTTCGAATGTGCTTTTCGGCATTTAAAAAGAATTAGTTTTAAATAAATAAATAAGGAAAGAAGGAATAAATTTAAATGGAGTTCACGTCAAAGCAAGGTGAAGGGATGATTTCTATTGATCGAGAATTTATAACATTTCCACTGAGAATCCTACTTCTATTGATAAAGAATTAATTTAATTTCTTTTCTATTTGACAGTTAATATATAATTTCTGCAATGAATTCCATTTTTATTATTCCATTTCTATCTCTAATTTTTCTCAGTAGAAATGTAATAAATTCTCTATTAATAGAAATTGGATTCTAAATGGAAATGTAATAAATTGTATATCAGTAAAAATAGGATTCTGTATTAATTTCTCTATCACTGAGAATCCTACTTCTATTGATAAAGAATTTATTTAATTTNCTTTTAAAAAAAAAATTTGGATTAATTTCATGATTTCATTTCTATCTCGAATTTTACTGCCTTACTGCCTTTCTATCATGCTCCTTTTAGACTTTTATAGATTTATTTCTCCTGCATGTGCTATCTTTTCTTCGAATGTGCTTTTCGGCATTTAAAAAGAATTAGAGTTTTAAATAAATAAACAAGGAAAGAAGGAATAAATTTAAATGGAGTTCACGTCAAAGCAAGGTGAAGGGATCATTTCTATTGATCGAGAATTTATTACATTTCCACTGTGAATCCTACTTCTATTGATAAAGAATTTATTTAATTTCTTTTCTAATTGATAGTTAATATATAATTTCTACAAAGAATTCCATTTTTATTATTCCATTTCTATCTCTAATTTTTCTCAGTAGAAATGTAATAAATTCTCTATTAATAGAAATTGGATTTTTAATGGAAATGTAATAAATTGTATATCAGTAAAAATAGGATTCTGTATTAATTTTTCCATCACTGAGAATCCTACTTCTATTGATAAAGAATTTATTTAATTTATTTTCCAATTGATAGTTAATATATAATTTCTACAAAGAATTCCATTTTTATTATTCCATTTTTATCTCTAATTTTACTGCCCTAATTCTCTTTTACAGATTTCTTACGCTGTGATATATTATCTTTTCTTCATATCTTCTCTTTTCATTTCAAAGAGAATTAAAGAGAGGTTTGAATAAATAAATAAATAAAGGAGGAATAAATTTAAATGGAGTTGACGTCAGAGAAAGGTGAGGGGAATGAGCCATCTAATCTTAAGTTGCTCAGAAGGGACGTCTCAAAAAAAGACGTGGCATGGGCAACGTGCCATTTTGCTCATCCTCAAACTTCTTAACCTTCTTTTCACTTCCTTCATCTTAGCTTAGAGCGTTATTTTGTAAACATGGTCTTTCGATTGAAGGTTAATGAAATACTTTTGTCAGAAAGTCATTGACACTTTTTTTTATTTTTTTTTTATTTGACAGTGGTCAGTTTTGAAATGTTATTATCTGCATTGAGTGCTACAGTAGATTAGCACCCTTTACGAAACATTTTATGACTACCACGCCGAAAAACACTTCCTAATTAATGTTATAAGAAACTTCATAGCTGATTTCTATACCAACGCAAATAAACTTTGATAAAACGCCGAACTCTTACTGTCGACATATTTTTATTTTATTACTTCTTTTAAATAAGAAAGAAAAGTAAAGACTAAAATATTAAAATATTTGATAAGAATATTTAATTAAATATTTCTCTAACCATGTTAAAACTAAATGTAGCAATTAAAAAAAATTTTAAAAAAAATTCAATCTTTATTGCGACATAAAATTAAAAAAACAGTAAAATTAGCTTATTTTAATTTTATTAACAGTCACTTATTTTTTATTTCATTCATTTAGATTAATAAATAGATTAGTAAAATTAATAGTAAAATTAAAAGCTGAAAACCTGATATAATTTTATTTTATTAAATAAGTTGAAGTATGCCGAACTTCATTGTATACATACCTTGTCTTTCAATTTTTAAGACAAATTCACATTGAGAGAAAAAGTCTGGTCAAAATTACCAGAATATGGTACAATTTACCTTGTTTCTGATTCTATGGGAACACCAAAAAGCTCAGTAGTTTTTACCGAAGCGCTTTGGTTATGATTTTGGTAAAATTAGCAATAAAATAAGATTTCATAATATGAGATATAATTTGGTAATTGCTTAAAAATTTGGTTATTTTAGCATGATATCATAGAGCATGGCATAAAAGGCATTTCAGTGGTATTTTTCAGTTTTGTATTTTTTACTTAATATGTGGTAATAAGAGTTATCACTTTGAAAATCAGATTTTCCGGAAAACAGTTACTACGTGATTCGAAAAATGACCAAATGAATCGTTTAAATATCCTATATTTCGGTTTTATTAACCAGAATTAAGCTTGTTTTTTTTTAATTAAAAAAAAACCTAAAATTTCATAACCATACAGTACTGCAATTTTTCCAGAATTTTTTTCTCCGTGTATATCATTTCATTTGTGTTTTCTCATTATTATTAATTGGTGTAAAAATTAAATTCACTGAGGCCTTCCAATAAGGTAGTCCGGGTTCGAATCCCAACGATGGCAGGTAAATACGAATTCCGTACCCAGCTCACACCGATCACAGTGTTGCCGTAAGATATACTCAGTGACAGACGGATCACGGGATAGAGTTCTTAACAACTTAACACGAACTAAGTTCTTAACACAAACTTAAAATCAAAGCACTAAATAATTTTCAAATTTAAAACAAAAAATTGCTCTCAAAATGCACTAAAATACCAATTAAGGCAGCGCATTACACATTAGACGAAGTTTTCATTTTTTTCTTTCAACATTGCCTATTGTTAGAATTTTGTTTTTAGAGAGTTTAAAATGTCTCGGTATACGTTTTTATTTTATAACAAACGTTCAACAGTCGACCCAATTTTGAATTTACGACTATTAAGGTTTAACTCCTTAGTCTTGTAATTATGAACCCAACCAAGAAAACAAGAGAACTTCTGGATTAAGCATTGGAACATACTAGCTTTCGTGGAACACTTTTTGACGGATTAAACCCACATTTGCGTTACATGGAGAGGAAAAACAAGAAAACTTTCAATTGTTTACCCGATGCCAAGGAGATTCTTACCCATGATCCGTCTACCACTGAGGATAAATTAAGTCACTGTGGCAGCCGTCGCTTCTAACGCAGGTTAAAATCCTGCTTATAATTTGATTAATAAGCATTATAATGCTTATAATTAGTGGTTTCATAAACACCTAAACATAGCTGACAATACAGCTGTTTATTACCAAATTATTGATTAAATCGTACCTACCTTTACGGAAGAATAATGATTAAGTTTTAAATTCATTTAATTTTAAGTATTACATTAAGGCATTTTCAGTGTTTTTCCCAACGTGTAAACCAACCCAAATAAGTTTCATACGAAGGCGAATCCATTCAGTAATCTCCTTGTCTTTTGAGTTGGACTCATGACGGCTATAACTATCAAAAGGAAGGGGGTAGGGAGATACGACGATTGGCATTCGTTGAAATCCTTATATGCGAATAGGTTTCAACAAACATTTAAAAAAAAAAAAATCATATTATTACAAATGTAAAAATGCAAAACAGTTAAATCGTAAAGAAAAAATTAATCACGTCTTTAAACTAATTTATTATCTAATCTGCAAAGTTTTCATTCTATTTACATTATTTATAACTTTTTCCGTACGTATCTTCCTTTGCGTTTTTTTCATTGTGATTCGTAATTTCCTTATTAGTCATCCATTTTGTCTTAGGTAGTTCCCAAAAGGTCATAACACTGAACTTTGCACATGATTAAATTCTCTATTTCCCTCCCGCAAACTATTAGGTAAAGGTAATTTTTTTTTTACCTGCCTATTCTTTTATTTATTTTTTATCTAAACAGTTATCAACATCTTTTGTTTCTGTCTCTGATTTTCCTAATCTCACTTGTCAAAAGATTTTCAAACCAGTCAGACATGTTAAACCATCTCTTGCGGTTTTCAAAAAATGTGCGCAATTTTATTTGAGAGAGCGAGGCTATAAGATACGACGTTGCATCATCATTCATTGTGATTTATATTTCTTAATCAATGATGGGTAAGTAATATTTGCTAATAGTCAATTATTTTTTAAAGCAGAATGTTTTTGATTTACTAGTTTAAAGTGACTAGTGTTTAGTATCAAAGATGTCAAATAGTTTCAGTTTGCACTATTCTCCTAGAATTAGCTAAAATGATTGATAATAAAAATATTTTGCTTAAACTTATCTGTGCTTCTGCATTCGTATAATCCATATAGATTGATTAAGCTTAAAAACTTATTAAAATAGATTTATTTAAAAAAAATTTCTAAATCCAATTACTTATCTTAAGGAGACATACACATACATCTTAGTTTATGTGAAACTTAATTTTAAATCCTAATTTAAAAAATTTTTAAAATAAAATTTCTTATGTTATGTGAATTAGTTTAAAACCGTGGTTAAGAATTTTCAAAAATTGAATTTAAATATGCTGTATCATTGTGCAAGGTGCGTAGCGTTTGTAAGAAATGCTTAAAGGTGTTTATTTTTGATTTACGTTTTTTAAAAGCACTTAAAGGTGCTTTTTTTATTCGGAATTTGTAAAAAGTGCTTAATTTTCATTCTAATTAAATAAATATTACAGTAAAAATTACGGGATAATATTTTGCGGCAAAAATGGATTTTGCGGATGATGCACAAGAAAAAGGTCTGAAAGAGAACGAAAAATTTATTGCCTAAGTTGATTTTTTTCCATAAACAGTAAAGTTATAATACAAAAGGCAAAAGTAAAAGAAAAATTTCAAAAAAAAATTATAAATAGCGAAGAAATTCAAAAGTTTGAAGAAATGTTCTAAAATTTTTTTTAAAAAAATGCCAAAAATATGCATAAAAACGGTTAAACCTTTATAAATCAGCCCGAAAAAGGCCCGAAAATAAAAAAAAACCCCAAAATTCAAATAAAGGCTATTAAAGAAAAAAAAACTGAAACAAAAAAAATAAATAAATATTAAATAAAAAAAAATTTATAAATGATTTTATGGTAGTGATTGCCCTTGAAAGTCACTATCACTTTCATACTATAAAAGAAGACAAAGGGGAAAATGAAACTAAAAATAATAATTTTACAGTCAACAAAATTGAGGAATAACGAAAAAATTCAAAAGTGTTAAAAAATCCCCAAAAATTAAAAAAAAAAAAAAATGTCTAAAATGAAGAATTCCTCCATCTAAGAAAAGGCCATTGAAGAAAAAAAAAAAAAAACTAANAAAAAAAAAAAAAAAAACTAATACAAAAAATATATAACATTAAACAAAACTATAAAATAATTTTATAGCAGCGATTGCTCTTGAAAATCACTATTACTTTCGTACTGTGAAAAAAGACAAAGGAGAAAATAAAATTTCGATCTACAAAAACGACAGCGATTAACCCTATGATAAATGCGTTAAATCGTGTAAATGCGTTAAGTTGCTACTAGTCGGTAACAAAGTGAAGAGAAGTGAAGAGAAATGTGTGAATTCAAAGCAACAGGTCTGAACATGACAAATTTTTGTTTGTTGTTTCTCACATCATTCAGGTTTAAAAAGAGATAGCAAGTAGAATAAGCATTCATTCATCTTCATCGGTTGAATGAGGAACAATAAAAGCTGCTAAAAATGAATAAGTTTTCTCAGTATGCGTTCGAAGCTTCTAAAAATTTAGAGAAACGAATCCGGGTCGCGGAATGCGTTTTTCAAACAAAGGTAGAAATAAATATTTTATCAATTTATGTATGTTTGTGTATCACTTTGAAATGTGTACTCGTTTGTTAATAAAATGTGGTCATATCTTGTTTTATGTATAATCATGATAAAAGCATATCATTAAATCTATCTTCTTTTCTATCATCTATGTTTTGAATAAATTAACATTGGATTTTCATTTTTTTCCATTGTTTAAACGATTTCAACTTTTTTGGTCTAGAAAGTCTATGTTCGTTGTTGGAGTTTTTTTTTTCAATGTTTGTCCTCTAGATAAAACTAAAATTATTTTCTTTCATATTTTTATTAGTCAAATTAGTTAAAGGGGTGTCAACATAAGGAATTTCATTTTATTTTATTATTTGTATATGCTTCATATGAAAAAAAATGCAAATTTTTATTTTTAATGACGATTTAGATAAAATAAATAATACAGGTTTATTATTATTTTATCACTTTTTTAGTTTTTATTTATTTATAAAATTGCAGGGATGAAACCGCTCTTAAACTATTTATTTTTCAACTAATCTACATTCAATCTGTAGACTGTTAGAGAAAAATTGCTGGCATAAGTTTCAAAAATATTATGTAATGGTAATATAAGTTTGAAAAGAATTGTGAATCAGTCTGTTTACGGAAAATTATTCAAAATTCCATTATTACCATTTATTATCTATTAAATATTTCGCTTTAAATTTACAGTAAAAAAAAATTAAACGTGTAAAGTAAGGATGTGAATTCCAAGGTCAACTTTGCTGCACAGCCGTAGAATCTGCTACATCGTATTTATTATTCCAAATAAAAATATTTATTATCATAACGAGAAAAGTTCTTTTTTATTTTATAATCGAAAAAAGTTATTTATTTTAGGTGTTCATAACTTATTCGCATGTTATACTGTTAGTGCGTAGAAAATCGATTAATTCGTATCTTTACACGAGTAGCCAAAAAAGTTATTAGCAGTTTCGCACTTTATCAATAATATTGAACAGTTTGTTTAGGAACTGATAATTTCCAAGGACAACAAAGCTCAATTGTTGAAGATGCATTTTTAGTTTTTATTGGTTATTATTCTTTTTTTTATTTCAAAACTTTACCATTTATAATTATTTTTTATTTCGTTCTTAAATAGTTTCGCGAAGCAAATATGTTATTATTTTTCAAGGGGAAAAAACTAAAACTACCAAAAAATAATGTAGTTTTTTCAAACGATAAGCAAATTTAATTTTCTGGCTACAATTCTTATCATTAAATATATTTCTAAAACAGCTTAAGATAGGTATATTATTAAAAATACATATTTACAAATTTGTAAAATGAAATTTTTAATATTTTACCCGATATACAAAAATTACCTATAAATAATAAAAAACGAAGAAACAAAACACAAAATTATTAAGGTCCACAAAAAAATAATATTCTTCTCAGAAAGCAATCACAAGTGCACAAAAAAAAAGAAAGGAATAGTTTCGAAATAAAAGCTTTAATTATGTAGATGAATTATCCCCTGTGTAGCTCCAATACTTTTTTTAATTTTTTTTTTCATAAACATGTAGCTTAAAAAGAACTAAGCGCTTAATAAAACTAATTTTTTATATGCAAATTAAATACCCTGTTTTAATTCTTATTTATGCAGGGGCACGTTGGAGGTCATCAATTAATATTTAAATGAGGAATGAATAAAAACACTATAGATATTCATTAAACAACTATAAATAAGAAGGTGAAATAAAATACCAAAACCAACTTGGTTGCCTTAGAAAACTTGCAGGTATTTAATAATCGTCTTCTGGAAAATCGTCTCCTCCTTCTCGTCAATCTGGGAAATATGGTCCTAATAGTTCGTTCAGGAGAAAAGAACAACTAAGTGTTCGACTTTTTATAAATTCGATTTCTCAGGAACTATTTAACCGATTTTGTACTTCACCAGGTAAAATTACACTCTTTAAAATGTTTTAAAAAATTGTATACCTTACAATTCAAACTTTTCTCAACTATTATTAAACAAAATAATAAATATTTACTAAAAATTATCTTTTGCATGGAATTATTCTTGAATAAATGAATTTTCTATTTGTGCTCAAAATTTTTTTCAATTCGATTAAAAAGCTTTCGAGACATAGCGAAATACGCTAAAAATTAAATTACATTAAAGGATTCAAACTTTAGACCGCTCTTATGATCAAATTATTGACCCCTTATTTTCCAGATTGCGGCTACCCCTTATCGGGGATCAGAAATTCAGACCCGTCGAAAAAAATATAAGTTTATTTAGAAAAATAACGTTTTGTGTCTGATTTTGTAATTTAAAGGATCGTCGGCACTAATTAAATAGCATATTTGAGGTCACCCCCTTGAATCATTAAGAGAGTCCTAAAACTTGAAGATCCGATCATTAGATCCTAAATTATTCAGGGTCTTTCCTTTTTTATTATTCATTTATTTATTCACTTCTTTTTCTTCTTTTTTTTTTGCGCATTGTACATTTTGGGATTGTAAAGGAGAAAAAAGCTTCGGGTATGGTTTTTGTTTTTATTTATTTAGTTTTGAAACTCTAACCAAGACTATTTGGGCATTTTCAGGGGCTACTAAATTTGGAATGGAAAATTACCCCCACTTTTTTTTATCAGAAGGACACGTTTTCTTGATTTTATAAATGTTTCTGGAATGTTGGTAGTGAAAGGGTTAAAAATATGACGTAAACCACACACTCATTTTACCGACAATACCTATTGGGTGAATCACGTCGACGCCACTCTTGAAAAATGTAGAAATAAAACGATAAAATTCGAGACATTTTTTTTGAAGAATTCTCACGAAATGCTCTCTCCTTCGTGCGAAGAATGATGAGGCATTAAAAAATAAAACAATGAAGGTGTTTATCTTCAACATAAAGTCTAATTCAAGATAAGAGGACCTGTGAAACTAAATCGACGAACGCACGAGGTTACTGTGATTTGGACTCGGTTCCACATCTTGGAACACTCCTTTTTTTTGACGTAATTTCATTCTAGTAAAAACGATAAAAGAAACGGCAAAGAAAACGCAATAAAGCACCCGGATTTGCTTCAAATATTTTAGTGACAACGACAATTATCTCCTTAAGAAATCATTTATAATGCCTTCGCATTGATTCTTTTACTTTTTTTAAAAAATATTATCATTTATTATAACTTTATTAATAAGGGATAAATTAAATCAATAAATATACATTGTAAGCCCTGTTTTGTAAATTGTTTCTAATTGTTCATAACATAGAAAATAATTTTCAATTTAAAAGTTATAATTTCAAAGAAAGTTTTCATAGATGTTATAAATTGTTTTCATAAATATGC